CGTAATGGCAACTTTCATGTGGAATTCATGTCTCGAGCGCTCTGCTCCTTCTCCCTGTCCCTGTGTCCTCACCACTAACCTGTACTCAGATATCAAACCTGATGACTCTCCTGTGAAAGGCACAAAGAAGGGAAAAGGAAAGAAAGATAAGAAGAAACCGGCAGTCGACCCTTATGAGAAGAAAAAGCCAAAGCTGGATGAGCTGAAGGTATACAGTTGTGACTGCGACATACAGACACGGTCTTAGAAAACAAGTCATTCCAAACCTAATTTATGTGTTTACATATACACTTATCTGTGTTCAGGTGTATCCTAAGGAACTGGAAAGCGACTTTGGTAACTTTGAGGACTGGCTGCACAGTTTTAACCTGTACAGGGGAAAAGCCGGTGATGATGATGATCAGAATGTGACAGATGAAGATAGGATTGTTGGAAAATTCAAAGTAAGAAATTGTCTCTTCTTTTTCATTGATGATGAAAGTCAAAGCTCTTTAAATAATTCTTTCATATTTTCCTCTGAATGCCCTTTCATTTGTATCGCTGTGTCAATTCAGGGTTCGCTGTGCATGTACAAAGTGTCGGATGATATGCCAAGAGACATGAACTTTGATTCCAACATGGGAATGTTTAATAACATTCCTAGCAATGATCCCATTAACGTCCTTGTTCGGATCTATGTCATCAGGGTAAGCTATGTGCTCTGCTGTGAATATTTATTTCAATATCCTGGGAAGAGGTCCTTTAGCTCCTTTGAGTGCTCATAGTCAGGTTCATACCAAGGGTGCTAGCTTGTGGATGGTTCTGAGCTCTGCATACGTTAGCTTTAGCCACTTTGCCTTTGAGAGTTTCTTTCAAATACCCACCCACATTTGGAAATGTTTAAGGCTGACTGGCTGGTTACCGGTCATAGCCGAGAATGCTAGACTTACTTATTATTATCATACTCAGATTTATCCATTTTTTTTCGTAGGCAACTGATCTGCATCCAGCAGACATAAACGGTAAAGCCGACCCCTACATTGCAATAAAACTGGGAAAAACAGAGATAAAAGACAAAGAGAACTACATCTCAAAACAGCTGAACCCACTGTTTGGCAAGTAAGTAATTTTAGAGCATGGCCTTATCTATACGATCTTACGAAGTTTTTATTTTTTGTGAATATACTGAATTTTAATTAAAACCTTAAAACTAAAATCTGTCTCTTATTAGATCTTTTGATGTGGAGGCCACATTCCCAATGGATTCCACATTAACTGTGTCAATTTATGACTGGGACTTGGTGGGAACTGATGATCTCATTGGAGAAACCAAAATTGACCTCGAGAACCGTTTCTACAGCAAACACAGAGCCACGTGTGGTATCACACGCGCCTACGCAATGTAAGGATCACACAATCTGTTTGACTCAAGTAGCATTAGCCAACATGAAAGCAAAAACAAAAAAAAACAGTACTTTAATTTGTTCATTTTCAATAGATGCACTGCTCTTCACCACAAACTTTACTACAAATTCAATCAAATGAAAGCGTTCAGCTAGCTAACATTATAGCTCACAGCCACCATTAATAGTTAACCTGTTGCTAGTCTGTCTCCATAGATGTCAAGAAAAACCTAGTTCAAGTTCAAGTTCAAGTTCAAGGTTCTTTATTTGTCACATGCATAGTTATACAAGTATAACACACAGTGAAATGTAGCCTGACACGCTACTCGACATGTGCAAAAATTGGGGGGGGGTGTAGAGGAAGAACATTATATATATATATATACATACATATAGTATATACACTGGGTGAATGTGCAGTAGTAGCAGCAAGCAGGTGAATTCTGTACATTAATATGAATAGACATCTGACTATTTTACAGGATAGACAATATAAACATATTTAAAATTAAAGGAATTGAAATGTACTAACTTCAACAGCGCTAGAAGACATGTATAGACACAAAGTCACATAGACATGCACAGAAAAACTTGGAAAGTACTGGATGTCTTTCCAGATCATATGTGATTGGCTGATGCATGGTCTGACGATCCCATGCCCTGACCTCTAAGTCTGGGATTTTAATGCAGCTTCAGCAGGGTCAAGGCTGGGACACCACACAGAAACCTAATGACTTCCTCCAAATAAAGACATGATGTATGAGTTCTGTGATCAGCCCCTGACCAGCAGTTAACCCATGAGATCAGGTGAAATACACGAAGAAAATAAAGTTAAGAAGAAAGTTAAAATTGCATTATATATATGCAGGCAATATGAAAGCAAACTGGAATTTAAATGAACAAAACAAGCTGAAAAAATTCACTTGATGGAATAATAGTGTCCATTTTAATTTGACTGCACTACATCCACTGACAAACATTCACTAGGGTTTGTTTGATGCATGCAGCATTTTTGTGTTTGTGCAGTGGAAAAAACTAGTTGGAAAAAGAAGGGAAGGAGGCAGGAAGAACAGGAAGAAAATTAATTAAGGTAGAGGAAAGTTAAAGAAGGTACCAACAGAGAAGAATCCCATCAGAATATCCCACAGAGTATGGTCACCACTAGATGATAATTCACCACAGCCATGAGCCACAGGCTACTTCCTCTCACTGCTGTGGTGCTTAAGGAGAGGGCATGACTGTGTGTGCTTTTGAGAGAAGGGGAGGGGTTCATTTGAGCAGGATGCTTGGAAACTCTGATTCATTCAGATTGAAGTTACAGCAGTTACAGTGGACTGGTTTTACTGGAAGGGTAACATGGCATCATAAAACCAGAAGACACCCCCCACATCTCACAACACTGTGTTCTATGTTCACTTCAGGCAACTTGTGTCTGTAAACAAAGGTTGTATGACCTCAGCGTAGCTCAGTAGAGAGCCTGACCTTTGTGCCTATAAAAATAAGAAAGTTGCGTTTATTCAAATAAACAAATTTTTGAACAGATGTGAAAAAATGTTGAGCTGGATCTTTATTATTAATGATGTTGTCTTAAAGGCAAAAGTAGAGAAACTGTATGTGTATGTATCCACTCTCTAAAAGAGAGAAACAAGAGATTAATGTTTTACATATTTGCGTGCATGAATAAACTAACTCAAGCATATTAGTAGTTTCTAAAATTTTAAAAAAGTAATATCTTATTTTACACTAATTAAAACTGAATTGTGTAAGCATGCTATTCATATCATATTCTTTTTGCATGCTCAACCAAGTGATATCACGAGATTTGCCAGAAATGTGTATAAATATAAAAGTGTGTTCATTTAGATGACAAGATCAGCACATAGATAGAGAAAAAGAGGGCCAGGAAAGAATCTTCTTAAACTATGTTCACTTTTGGTTACACTATTGCGCTGCAATAAAGTCATCAAGAACAACTGCATTCATTCATCTCTTTCTTTTTTTATCATTGCACAGTCCTGATATGACAGATATTGGCTCACAAGCATGGTTTGTTGGAAAGATACTGCTTTGATGGTATGTTATAAATAATCCAAAATTTCTGAAAGGGAAAATTCATATTTTGAACAGAGCAGACACAGAATGAACACTAGGTGGTGACACACAGTTACAAACACAAAACCTCTCATTGTCTCCCTATACTCACTCAAACACACACAAAGACTCATATACAAAATCATAAAGTATTTTAAATTTACTTTATTTGTTTTATTGGTTCATTTTCAGTACATTTATTTAATGCTATAGATTTATAGCACTGAATTAAATCTCAATTTTTAGCGTGAAAAGTGTAAATTACCAAACAGATCAGAAAAATTGGGGAAAAGTGCTAAAAGGAGAAATGGATGAGGAAAGGAAAGAGTTAGAGGAAGGGAAAGAGGAGGAAAAGAGGAAAAACAAGACGCAGTATAGAAGAAATGGAGGAAAGGAGTGAAAGGAGTGTGAGACAACATATAATAAAAATGGGGAAAAATATGTAGGGATTTTGAAATGGAGAGAGAATAAATAATGGCTAGGAAAAAAGTAACAAAAACGGACGATAGAAAAAGTGAGGAAGAGAGATTAAAAGAGGAGGAAGAGAAAAGGGAGAAAGAAGGAAGAGAGGGGGACAGCATCTGTTTCCTGTCTGGGGTCCAGCTGGAGGTGGAACAAACGACAAAAGAAGAAGAAGAGGTGGAGGAGGAGGAGAAGGAGGAAGTACCGGCCAGCCTGAGAACCTGTCTCATACACACATGCAGGCTTCCTCAGGGAAAAATTGAATCCTACTTCCTCCTGTGTGTGCATGTGTGTGTGTGAATGTGTGTGTGTTTGGATTAAGCTTAGTTGCATACACAATTTTTAAAAATATCAGGCTAGTGTTACAGATACAGATGGGGCGATCGTGGCTCAAGAGTTGGGAGTTCGCCTTGTAATTGGAAGGTTGCCGGTTCAAGCCCCGGCTTGGACAGGCTCGGTCGTTGTGTCCTTGGGCAAGACACTTCACCCGTTGCCTACTGGCCCGGTGGCGCCAGTGTCCAGCGGCCTCACCTCTGTCAGTGCGCCCCAGGGTGGCTGTGGCTACATGTAGCTTACCATCACCAGTGTGTGACTGAGTGGATGACTGGATGTGTAAGGCGCTTTGAGGTCCTTAGGGACTAGTAAAGTGTTATACAAATACAGGCCATTTTACAGATATGTGTTTTTCCAAATTTATTTACAAATCAAACAACTACGAGGCTAAATCAGGCTGGTGCACTTAATAACACACACACTGACTGTAGTAACTGATGTCAGAACTCCCCAGTTATTTTAAATGCCAGAACAAACATGAACCTGAAATTTTGGGTTTAAATTCACATGCCATTCCACTGCAACTTTCTTTTGATTTTTTATGCAAATATGCTTCGTCTTGATCAGTCTAAAAAACACAGATGTTGGACAAAGGGAAAGTCCCCCAAAATCTCCAACTGACCTTGAGAAATCCAAAGATCTCAAGCACTAAATTCCATGAACTTGTCTTGGACTTTTTCATGTTTCACTATGTTTCATTCATGGTCCAGGTATTACCCGTTTTGTGGAGATCCAATCTGGTGACAGTTGTCGTACATGTACAAATGTTCATCACAAAAATCTTTCCATTCTACATTATTAGGTTATTAGATATTACTTTATGTAATAAACTAATAACTGTTTGTGTGTGTGTGTGTGTGTGTGTGTGTGTGTGTGTGTGCGTGTGTGTGTGTGTGTGTGTTTGTGCAGCATAGATGGGGGGTG